TAGTCTCAAAATCTTATACCCGAAACCAACCCAGGGAATCTTAAATTTGTCATTAATTGGCAAGAGTCAAATAATTGAGTTTTTTATCGCTACAATTTATCTATAACCTCCATCTCGCACATTCACATTTAATTTATTTAATACAACTTCGCAAATTGCTGAAATAAGTGTGACACCTAATTGTCTTTTTGCTTCCCTGTGGATACGATATTCATATGTATACGCTAAAACGCTATACTATATATTGACATAATACTTTAAGTGTGAGAAAACTCACATCAATCAAGCTCCTCAAGAAGGATACAACGTTTGACATCTCGCATAAATGCCTAATGTGTTAGTGTTTAAATGAAAAGGTTGTCAAGGCACTAACACTAGTAGAAAAATGGCTTACAGTGACACTTTTATAGTGACACTTTCTGATAAAATGCTACTTCTAACATAAAAGTGTCGCTATTTTGTAACAAAAATAGATGAGCATGAAGTAGTGACACTCGACATTTTTTACGGAGTATATTTGTAAACGCGCGTCCCTATTCATTACTTATGGGCCGGCCCTTAGAGTTTATTCTACGGAGTAAAACACTTGTCTTTTTTCCTCTTTCGTTTCAGCTTTCCATTTGTGAACCTAGGTCTCCAACTCCTCGATCGATCGTCCGCTTTTCTTGGTCATGCTCGTGACTACATCTGCTCTACAATCTACTTTCTTTAACATATTGAGCGAGGCTTCTGTAAACCCCTTGTAAAGGCTTGGCTAATTGTAACGACGAGGGGCGATAGGTCACCTAGGGTTAGCAACCGGAATTACAAGCCTATGCCGCACGATGAATCACTTGGTAACATGGTTTTGTTGTTTTTTATTCTTAATCTTGCTATTTTTTAGTCGGAATCTACTACCAATCTTATTTTCGACGTTCGATTTGAGATTGGAAGGACGTTTTATGGCAAAAAAAAAAACCCAAGGAACGAGCTTTTCAATCGTGTTTGTACTGTTCCATGTAGATTTTGATTTGGTCTCGACTTTAAGAAATTGTTGAGTGTTTCTGGTTTTTAAGAGCTTTTTGGGACTCGCCGTATCAGGACGAAGCTTTATGTCTCCTTCGTCAAAGGTGGGGGTGGAATAAGGTTGGAGTTCTGTTGTCGGTTTGGGCGCTTACTATTCACCTACGACGATGGATCTAGCTCCTTTGTTCACAGACATCTTGAACTCGGCAATACTGGTCTGGGACTCACTAACGCGCCTTTCTCCCACGCATCTTCTGTGAAGCTTCAAGTCTGACGTTTAGAATAACAGTCGCCCACCAATCGGCCATTTTCAATCTCGCCAGCAGCCAACTTCAGGTAAATACTTCATCACTCCACTGAGTTCACTCTGTTTACGTTTCATCAATTTTCAAATTTTTAGGAAATTGGAGACATGGTTTGCTGATTACAATCTCAAAAACGATTAAAATAACTTATTTGTGTTAATGATTAAACATTTGGATGTCTATATGAATCTGTGTAAATGATTGATATGAGCAACTTAATATGAGAACTTGGTAAGTTAATTGTTTGGCAAATGTCCTCAAAGAAGTATACACCACATTCTTTAACTTCAATAGGTTGAAATTTGGTTGATGAATTGTTCTTGCAAAGCTCATACTTTATCAAGCTTTATCATTTCAGAATTCAGATGTTGTTTATAGGTTTACTTGTTTTTTTCCAACTCAAACCAAGCAATTAAATAAAAGTAAAACAATCCAGCTCTAGAAATAATTTACACCAAGATGGAAAAATAACGAGCAACAAATTTAATTAACATCTTAGAAGAAAATTCCCATGTGGCTGCTCTCCCCCGATCCTCATTGCCTACCCAAAAACCAGTACTTTTCCTCGATCAAAGCCTCTCTGATGAAGTGCTATTCCTATTTACCCCTGAGTTTGACCAATTAATAATGGAGCGATTGAGGTTGCTAAAAAAGAAGTAAATTATGGTTGGTTTATACTCACTGTATGTGATGATAGTTATGTCACTATGTCAGCATTTAACCATGTTGCTGACAGAGTTCTACCAGGTGACTCATGTAGAACCGCTCTTAGATATAAGAGATTTAAATTGGTGCAGTGAATATGAAGAAAATAACCCTACTTAGAATGTAGCAACATAATTTTGTGTTTGGTGATAATGAGGTAAATTTCTTATTTGGTTCCCCACATCGTTTCGCAGGAAACAAAGATCGCAATTTCCTTCTCTGAGATTGGAATAAAAGGCTCATTTTGAAGATTTTGTGCTACACGGCTTGGGACAACGGCTTTCTTATTCAACTTACAGTCAAAAAGTATATATGAAGTGTAGCGGTGATTTTCTTCTGTCAAAGGTTTTATTTCAGCACCAGGAGGGTCCGAGCCAGTGGCGTTACCTTTGGCGCCTGCAAAAATGACCATTATCTGGTTAAGTTTAAGACTTTAAGTTAATGTTAATTAAACTCACTAAAACCTCTAATAAGTTTTTTTAAACCAACACTTTCTTTTTAAAAAAACTCACTCAAACCTCTCACTTGCTAATTTATTGATAATATGATCACTGAATATACTTTTGAAAAGTCATTTATGCTGGTTTTGTACTTCCTAGTATTAAACTATTAAGGAATGGATTTTCTGTCCAATGCTAGTTTTTCGAATCCTTGCTTAATTGGCTGAATTTTTGAATTGTGTTTACCGTATGTTTTTTGGGATGACATTCTTTTCTTGAACTTGTTAGGTTCGTTGCTTGTTGAGCTCTTTAATGGAAGCTCCCATTGTTTTATAGTATTAATGATTAATTATGGAAGCTGTTTTTTATAAAACTCCATGTGGCTTGAATTATTTTTACTGCATACACTAATACACATGGGTGAATGACTGGTTGAGGAAGAAAAATCCTTCCACCCGAGTTGCCGATTAATTACCGATTAGTCGCCGATTAGTCGGCCTAAGCACTAGGCGGCCCTCTGTTGCCCGACTAGCGCCTAGCGACTTTTAGAACATTGGTCTGTACTCTGTAGTCATCTTTGAACAGATGCATGAGAAAGAAATTGCTGGTAAAAGATAATCAACGTTTTTCCTTATGATGGTAGATTGAGGTGGTGAAAAAAGGTACTAGAAGGATTAACCAGTAACCAGGGCCGGTCCCCTGATTTTTTCTCTCATTTGACAGCATTAGTTATGTATGCCTTATGTTCCAACAGCTAATGTATGTGGAGTCGTTTAGGTGGCAGGGCAGCGGGCGAGGATGGAATGGCTGGCTAGCTTCTCAGTGTTGTTTAAGATCTCAAATTATCTCCACCTCCCCCAATCGCCACCATACATTTGGGAACTGGAAAAAATCTCTATTTCACATTTGGATGGGTATTGTATACACATTTCTTTCATATTTTCGCTTATGCTTTTAAGGGAACAAGTTTTATTAATGTCTAATCCATCCAAGCAAAATTTTGGATTTTGTTCTTTCTCTTTATGTCGACGGGTGTGATGTTTTATGCTCTTAGCAAATTTCAAGGGAAGAAAAACCCAAGAACAGTTCGCCAGTCCGTGCTCTTCTTCTTGATTCAAGTAAAGGATGCCAAAGAAATGAACATACACAGGTTTTGTGTTCAAATACTCCCTTTTGTTCAATTTCTTACACAAAACTCACAGTGAACAGGTTCATACATGAGAAGTGGTCTGGAGGGAGTGTATTATTTGGCCTATACTTAAAACTTCTCAGCTATTTAGGAACTGGAAACTTTGTAATCCTAACTTTTTAGTTCTGATCTTGAAATTATAAAAATATTTTATCGCACTACGCTTGTACATATGCCTTCATTTTGCATTCGATATTTTGACTCATTCCAAAGATGCTTAAATATTTGGAATTTGATGTAGTTGGCATATTCTCATGAGGAAGAGAGCACCAAGGCAAGGAAGGCTCTTGCGATCTGATTGCACCTCTTGAAGTTCAATTTTTTTGAAGGATGAAGCTGAAGCGTTGATGAAAAAGGTGGAACTGCTTAATATTGAAAAGATATCATTGACTCACAAGTCCCATCAAATCAACTTGTTGATGATGGCACAAGATAAAAAGATGGCATTGTGTTAAACATATGGCTCCTTTTTAATTGCAAAATGCTGCTGCTGAGAGGACTCATTCTTATGTCACTGGAAAGCAGCATGTTGGTTATGGAATGGTTCGAGATTTCCTGTCTGAATACAAGGCTACACGAGAGAAGGCAAGGGAAGAGGAAAGATGGCAAGCGAGAAAGAAGAAGAAGAAAGAAGAAAACAAAAGGAGAAAGAATATGACAGGATGTTTTGTCCATTAGAGTATTTGTGGTTTTGCATATGCCTAGAATGCAAACTTTAACAACAATGTAGATTTGACATTGAAATGAATTTTCTACTTTAAACGTTCAATCTATGTTTTGAGATTTACACTACCGTTTATGGATTTAGTGAATTTGAATCGAAATTTCTGTAATATAATTGAAATAGAATTTCTAAATTATAATTGATTTAGATTGCTGAAACTGTACAAAACAAAGTGATACCAAAGTGTCACTAAAATATCATGTTCGTTGAATGAAAAACAGAATTATGTGATACCGTGGTGTCATTAGAATTTGTGATGTAAAAGTGTCATAGCGCGGTTATGTCACCTATGTATCACTATTTGGTGATACTATAATGTCACAATTTAGTGACACTTTTAGTGACACTTAAATAGTGTCACTATTTCCGACTTTCATTGACACTTTTTAGTGTCACAGAAACTTTCAGTGACACTAATTTGGTGTCACTGTAAAGCATTTTTCTAGTAGTGAGAGCATTCTTTGATAGGAGTATAAAGTGTGAAACTGTTGATAACAATCTTTGTGAGGCTTTTAATGGAGCAATAGTGCCTGCAAGATCTCAGTTAGGATACTCTCAGTTGGAGTACATTAGAAAGTTGGTAATGCAAAGGCTAACCAAGAATAGGGACTTAGCTGATAAGTGGGTTGGTGAGTTAGGCCCTAGAATTAGGAGAAGGATAAATAACATCATTAAGGCAAGCAATTATTGGAGGGTGCAGTTTAATGGGGCTGATGGTTATGAAGTGTCTTGTGGTTCTGACACCTATCTAGTTGACTTGGCCAATAGAAGTTGTTTGTGTGAGCAGTGGGATGTGTCTGGGATTCCTTGTAAACACGCCATATGTGCAATTAGGTACAAAGGTCATCCTATAGAGGATTATGTGTCTAATTGGTACAAGAAGGACATGTATAGGCATACATATTCTTTCATGATGACACCTTTAGCTGGTCCATTATTCTGGCCTAAAACAAACATCAAGGTCTTACCTGCTGCACTAAAAGAAAAAGAACTAGGCAGGCCCAAGAAGAATAGGATCAAGGAATTAGGTGAGTTTCCTAGAAGTGGCAAGCTACCCAAGAGAGGTACAACAATTACTTGCCAGTTATGCTTCAAGAAAGGACACAACAAAAAAGGGTGTCCTTCAAAAGAGCAAATACTGCATGGAAATTCTACTTTTCCTTCTGATGACCTTGAAGGTGGAAGTTCAAACCCAACACATGTCAGTTCAAACCTAGAAGAGGTAAATCACTTTTCTGAAACTGTATATGTGACTTTTTTACATTATTGGCATATGAATATATTGGTATCTTGTAATTCTGTTTATGAAAGTTTCAGGAAGCCAATGGTCCTACTGAACCTGCAGCACAAGCAAATGTTGGTGGTAATACACTGCATGCATATTTTACTGAAAACCAAAGCTCAGGGGACACAGGTGCTGATGGTGTATTCCAATGGAGAGGAAATAAAGCAATTACTGCTACAGGTTTGGAGGTATGGTTTCCTATTTATAAAAGTCATTTCATTAGTGCATTTATAAATGAGAAGGAAAATGAATGTAAGTAAAAGATTGGTTTGAATTTGTGCAGAGACTGAGAGCAAGAAATGCAAAAGAAAAGAATGCCAATGCTGTAAGATTAAGGAAAAGAGCTGCTGAAGAGGTGGAATTTCATGCTGATGCCACAACTGCAAGACAGAGGTTCCATGCTTTGTATGACTCCATGGAAGACAATGATGGGCAGTAGTTAGCTTATGTAATATATGGGAAGATCCTATTGCCATTTTTTGCATAATATATGGGCTTGTAAGGATCTTAAACACTACAACATATGTATATGGGCTTGTAAGGGTCATTTGCAAGTTTTTTTGTGTTCTTTTTACTTGCATATGAAATTCAGGTGATTTAGTAGGATTAAACTTGAAACATGTATGTATTAAACTCAATGCTTTCAGTTCATGGGCTATAAGTTCATGTATTTTGTCAATGAAGTATCAGTTATTCAGTTCATGACTTCATATATGACTTGATGTTTCAGATCATTCTTTAAGTGAGTGATATTTGTAGTCCTTTGAAGTGTCGTTTTCATGTGTTTATATCATGTGAATGAGGTGATATGTCAGGTTCACAAGGACATGTAATATATCAGGTTCATTGAGGGTCTGGTGTTTAAGTCATACTTTGAGGTGAAGTGGTAGGTCATTGTTATGTTCAAAACAGGCCTTACTTGACCTGTTTCTTTGGGGTCAGATTAGAGGTCATTGTGTGCCTAATTTTGAGGGATATCTGTGCTCAGATTTGAGGTCATATATAGGTCATATCAGGCCATTTTATAAGGCCATTGTTCAGGTGATTTCAGGCCACATTTTAGGTCATATGTAGGCCATATCAGGCCATTTTATAGGTCCTAATGACAGGTCCAAGTTCAGGCCATTGTTAAGGTGATTTCAGGCCAGATTTGAGGTCATATATAGGCCATATCAGGCCATTTTATACGTCCTAATGATAGGTAAAATTTCAGGCCATTGTTAAGGTGATTTCAGGCCACATTTCAGCTCATATGTAGGGCATATCAGGCCATTTTATAGGTCCTAATGATAGGTCCAAGTTCAGGCCATTGTTAAGGTGATTTCAGGCCAGATTTTAGGTCATATGTAGGCCATATCAGGCCATTTTATAGGTCCTAATGACAGGTAAAATTTCAGGCCTTTGTTCAGCTCATTTCAGTCTAGATTTGAGCTCATATATACGCCATATGAGGCCATTTTATAGGTTCTAATGACAAGTCAAAGTTCAGGGCATAATTGAGGTCCTAATGACAGCCCAAAATTGAGGTTCATACCAGCCCATTTCTTCACTCTGGTATGGTCATTGTTACAGATGAATACTGCCAAAATTGGAGGTTCATATCAGGCCATTTGATGCTAGTATGAAATACAGTTTTACATCTAGATAAAAGTCATTGTACATATCATAAAAACAAACATAGTACAAATGTTGTGCTACATCATAGCAAAGTAATTGATACACCTAAATTACATCAACTTCAACTGATACATCAAACCTAATCAACTGCTAAATCATACCTAAGAACTAATACATGAAACATCAACTTCTACTTATACATCTAAGAACTGATACATCAAAGCTAAGATATCCATACATCAAAGCTAACAAAATGATACATCAGTTCATAAAACTTCCATTGTAGATTAATCCATTACAGCATCACACATCTTCCAAGCTACCTTCTTGTTCATGCCACTGTCATTCCAAGCAACACATATCACAACCACCACTATCCCTGCAAGAATGCACCACAGCACACTCCAAATCCTCTGTTTTGTAGACAGCCCTTTTCCCTTTGCCTTCTCCTCAACAAGCTCAGCTTCCAATTTGTTTATTTTCCTCAACAAACCGGGAATAATCATCTTGGACCTATAACACATTTCTTCATCAAGCCATTCGAACATGTTGCAAGAGGCACCTGTACCCTATTTGTTTTTAATAATAATACCATTAATTCAACAAGAATCAAAATCACCACCAAATCGTAATTAACAAATTTTTATCATCCCAATTCCCTTACTCTTGAGCAGGCGATGAATCGTCTCCCTGGATTTTCATTTGTCCAGGAAGTCAGTGTCTTGGCTGGAAATCCACAGTAGCAACTGCCGTAAGCCATCTGCCTGGTTCCCAAAACTGTAAGCCAAAAACATGAACCTTCGCCGGAGGAAGCGATATAGCGGAGGACAGAAACGAAGAGAACGAACGAACTCAACGAAGAGATCGAACTCACCTAGGTTTTGATTGGAGTATTTAGGGTGTTGCTTCTTCTTCTCTGCGATTGTAGTTGCAGACCTATTCCCTCAGATCTCACAAATGAGCAGAAGAGTTAGGGTTAGTAATTACTAACGTGGTGTAAGCGGCTGAGGTGGCTAATTTTTGGCCAACTAACTAATCCTATTGGCCAGCTAAGCATTTTAGGATGGCTAATACCCGATGGACGAAATTAGACCCGTTTTTGCAATTTTGTGTACCGTTGACTCCCAAATGCAGCTTCATGTACTCTTTACTCCCCCAGCCCCAAGTTGATGTACCAAATCGACACTTTCCTCGTTTGGGAAGCATGTTCCCGAGCAAGAGCACTCATCCTCAGGGCTATCCCATAGCTTTGGCTTGCGAGAGCGATCACGAAACACTTCAACTTGAGCGGCATCAGACCTCTTAGGACTTGGCATACTCAAAGATCGTGAAAAGTAAACAGCTCACATCACATATTGTTGATTCCCATTTCAAGGATATCGCTCAATGTCAACTTTTTCGTACAGTGCTATTTAAAAAAAACAAAGAAAGATTACTTAACCATCAAGCAATCCATTTTCGCAATATTCTCATAAATATGTCCCCAAATTTAATTAAAAATTAACAAAACCTTCTGGGTCAAAGGAAGAGGACAGTCAACACATCCAAGGAAACGTTGTAAAAATATAAAATACTATGTAATACGTAGTATCATTTAACTTTATTGCTTTAGGTAATTTGAAATGCTATTCAAATTCTTTAATGTATATAGTAAAGTTATATAGCCATGCTCACAGCCCCACAGGCCACAACATACAAATTGAGCAAATATTTTACAACTTTCCGTGTGAATCATCTCTTCGTAACCTATACTTTTAAGGTAGATTCTATGGTACCCTTAAGGTACCATACCTTTGTCCACATGGACCAATAAGAATGACGCAGTTGGATTATTTAAATCTAAATTAGAAGGAATATAATGATTTGGACCAATCAAATGCATAGTAAGTATGGTACCCCATTTTTTAAATGGGTACCAAAGTTGTCACCTACTTTTAATCAATAAAACCAAATGATGAACTTTCTATTGATATAAAGAATATTAGGGTCAAATAGTTTAAATTTTACCTTGGCAATCCCACATATTTCCTTTGAGATTTTACCTTAGCAATCACAACTGCCTCAAACTGGCATGCAACTAAATGCTACAAAAAAGGAAAATGTTATGGTTTGACAAAGTGTTTGTTAGATTTTGTCATAAAACTCCCTTATTTCGAATCAGTACAATTAATGAGTCTCAACTGGCAGTTTTTTTCTCTAATATTATTTAAAGATTGAGATATTTGAGATCTATTTGGAAACATATCATATAACACTGATGTTTTGTACAGGCAGGATTGAGAAGTTGAATTCTCATGTATGTCTCGCATCAGTGGGTATCATTGGTGATTAGTGAGGAAAATGAAACAAACTTGGACAAATATAGAATGTAACTTGAGCATATAACTGAAGTTTGAGAATGTCCTTGTGAAACAAATTTTAAGTATTTACTTAAAATTGATCGCAAATAATAATATGTGAGAATATTGGGTACAATCTCTAAATATGAATCCTCTGATTCTTCACTTGCAATTTGATATGAATATATTTAAAGAATTTAATTAAAAGTTAAATCTCTAATTCTTCAAATATTTGAACGTTCTTCGGATCTTCGAATCTTCGTTCTTGAGATCTTCGAATCTTCGAACCTTCGTTCTTTGGATCTTCAAATCTTCTTGAATAAAGAATTCAGCTTGAAGGGCCTCCGGTTTTCAAGTGGCTTGATCTTCAACAAAAGGTCCGTTTTATGGCTTGATCTTCAACAAAAGGGCCGTTTTATGGCTTGAATAAAGAATTCAGCTTTAAGGGCCTCCCGGGATATATGGCTTGATCTTCAGTTGAATCTTGATTCAATTTTCATATGAGTATCTTCAAATCTTCAAAGATTCGTTCTTCATATCTTCGAATCTTCAAAGCTTCGTTCTTCAGATCTTCGAATCTTCAAGCTTCGTTCTTCAGATATTCGAACGTTCTTCAACGTTTTGCTTTGTTAAATCAAGAATAAATGAAATCATATATTCTTGACAAAAAAACGTGGCTTGATATCTTCCGATGCTTCGGAATCCTTCAGAGCCTTTCGGGAGTTCTTCAGAGCTTTTCTGCAGCGTTTCTTCGTCTGGAAGTTCTCCTCCCATTCTCTCAAATGAGACCCCTATTTATAGGTGTGGAGAAGGTGAAAATATGGCCTAGGGTTGCTGAAATTCGTCCATACCTCATGGGCCATTATTAAAATGGGCTTTGGGCTCCATTTGCTTGCATTTTAATAGCTAGAAAAATCAGCACTTGTGCAACGTATCTGGACAGCTTTCTTAACAAGGTTCGGAGCGATTTCTCATCCATATGGACATATTTTTTAACCAGATTCGTCCTCTTTATCAATCGGATCATGCCTCTTATGTATTGAGCCAATATTTGATGACGGGCTCAAAATAGAGAAATTAAAAGGACCGGACCATTCTTTTAGGGAATTAATTAAATTAATTGGATATTTTAAATAACCCAGATTAATTTAATTAATAAATTTTATCCGAATGGACCCATATTAATATTTTTATAGAGCCCAACAACCACTACGAGCAGTCCATTTGAATCTGACGATGGCCCAATATCACTTGAAAGAGGCCCAATAAGACACATAATAGCCCGGTAGCATTTAAATCGAACTTAATGGCAACAATAGTCCGTCACTGTTATCTCGTAAGCCCAATTCATTCATGAAGTAATGGCCCGCTAATTTTAAATGTCCAAAGTCCTATCCAATTATGCGTATATGACCAACATTACATCTCAACATGAAACAATAAGATTATTTTAATTCTTATTAGACTGAAGTAGATTGTCCTATCCACTATTCAATTGCAATATGCATATTTTAGTGTACTTCAATTCCAGTTAAAATAAACTCTGTATTGGAGCTGAATACCAAGTAAGTGAATGCCAAGTAAGGTTATACAAATGAACTTGGAGTTGGTGAGATTCCATTGGAGGTGTATTATCAAGTTAAATCTA